CCCTCCCTCCCTCCCTCCCTCCCTCCCTCCCTCCCTCCCCCCCCCTCTCTCTCTCTCTCTCTCTCTCTCTCTCTCTCTCTCTCTCTCTCTCTCTCTCTCTCTCTCTCTCTCTCTCTCTCTCCCGCTCTCGCTCGCTCGCTCTGTGTGTGTGACTGGCGTGTGCACATTGTTGATGATCACCTGCAGTTCTCTGTGAAGCGTCAAGTGGTTGGCATCTGGCACTGCAAGCACTGCAACAAGACCAAGGCAGGCGGCGCTTATGTGCTCAAGTATGTATTTTTGTCAGCTGCCTGTGTTTTCTGTTTTGTAGTGTTGGCTCTGGTAGTGGTTCATACGTCTGATCACTTTTGCATAACCTTTACCCATCCTTTTTATCCCTTTTCTGCTCCCCTGTTCGAACAGCACGGCTGCTGCTGTGACTGTGCGCAGTACCATTCGTCGGCTGCGTGAGCAGGTTGAGATCTAAGTACCCATCTTGCTGCAACGCCTCCACTCTTCCGCTGCCATACCATGCCCACCCATCAGCCGGCTATGTTTTAAATGCTTTCTTTGATAGCATGCTGCTGACTGCTGGTGTGTAGAAGTTGGCCAGCTTTGATGTCTAGCTGCTTGTTATGGAAGGAAACAAGCTGGCTTCTCAGTGCTCCATGTAATCATGCAATGACTTAGTAAACCCGTTGTGGGATAAACACATTCTCGTAAAACGAAGTGTTAATAAAGTTGCAACGTCATGCAGCTTTACGGAATTTCCTTGTTAGAGGTTGAGTGTATCCCCCAACAATCACAGTAAGATTTGCTTATCGAAGTCACCCTCGGAGAGTATCAGTTCAATAAGTCTCGGCCAGGTCAATCGAAATTGACAGTTTCCCCGTGCACTCCAATCCAACCCTGTCCAATAAATTACCATTCACCCACCCACCTTCGCTTCACCCTTCGCCAAACCTCGAAGTTGCCGCATCCCCCACGCAGAAAGTAAAGCTCCGATCTACTTGACTCGTCGCGCTTTGCCGAATTAGCGACTAAGAGTCCACAGCGCAGGCTTCTTGACCGTCTTGCCGAATCATGTAAGTAGCTGTGCCTGTAGTATTGCTTCTTTCATTCGGCTTCTACTCCTCGTACTAACTTCCTATTTTCCATGAATGTTCCATCCGTTTCTCTGCGGATTTCTTCTTTCGCGCATCTCCCTCGTCTTGTGGTCTCTTCCGTGTATCGCTATCTCCAGCTCACCAGTACTTTCCCGCCTCCGCCCCGCCACTTCCCATGCGCCTGGTGTTGTCAGGTCAGGAGGCAAAGTGTCGTTCAAGGTCACGCTGACGTCAGACCCGAAGCTCCCTTATAAAGTGTAAGTATAAATTAGCACGTTTCGGGCTTCGATCCGCCCTTGCTAGTGCTTCCAAGGCCGTGACGACTGTGGTGTTCGCTTCTGGCACCAGACTCGGCAGCTTGGTTGCGTCATTAGCTTGCCTCATGCACTGCAGCCAGCTGATAGCGCGTGTTGCGTGGATCATGAACGTGCTCGTGCGCACAACACAGCGCCGCACTCTAACCTTCGGCCTTGCAGTACCGCACTCGCCATGGCCCTCGCAGGGCTCAGCACCGTGTAGTCGTTACGTCACCCCTCCCCCTTCTCCCCTCTTTTCTTCCCCCACCCCTCTCCCCAACTGCCGTCCGTAGCTCGCAACAGAGCAGGCGCACATGTGGGAGTGCCTCGCATATGGGCCACATGTGCCAATCGCATGCTTTCTGTGATGCTCTGAGTGTGTGTACTGCGTATGCGATTCTCATCAAGCTCATCCTTGCCACTGCAAGGCTATGGCCTGCCCTATATGCTGCCCCTTTCTTCCTCCTGCTATACCCTTGCTCCTGCCATACCCTTCCTCCTGCCATACCCTTGCTCCTGCCATACCCTTCCTCCTGCCATACCCTTGCTCCTGCCATACCCTTCCTCCTGCCATACCCTTTGCCCCTCGCTGACTTCAACCTCGTCTCACCCTCCTCACCTCCTCAACACCCCCTCTCCCTTCCTCCCTTCCCACTCTTCCATCCCCCTCGTCCTCCTGTCTGTCTGTTGGTGTCCACGAGCAGCTTCAACGTGCCAGAGGAGGCGCCCTTCACAGCGGTGCTCAAGTTCGCTGCGGAGGAGTTCAAAGTGCCGCCACAGACCAGCGCCATCATCACCAACGGTCAGCCGTCTTCCCTCTTTGCTTGCCACCTTAAACGCACCACCCACCTGTATGCTGTTCGCTCGTCTTGCCCTTCTCATAACTTGCTGACACAAAGCTGTGTCCAACCCATCAGTCATTGTTGTTTTCATTGTCACGTTGTTGTGTTTGCATGCCTGTAAGCGTCGGCTTGAGGTAGTATCTCCGCAAAGGCTGTCTGTTCTCACTTTCGACCGGATTTTAAACAATCTCCTTTCCATTTCCTGTCAACTGCTCTTTCTCTTTAGGGCTCTTCGTCGTTCACTTCCTTACGTCTTTTGGTATTCTTGTGTGCTGGTGCCCTTTGTGCCGGTGAACATGCAGATGGAGTGGGCATTAACCCTCAACAGAGTGCTGGTGGGTCTATATTTCCTCCCTTCCCTCTCTGCCCATTGCCTTCCACAATATCCTTGCCTCTTGTTCCAGTCCCTCGCAACTGATGGTGCGATCACACTGCTATTTCTTCTGTGGTAGTGTGTGCCATAAGAATGTCGCAGCTACTGTGTTGCTTCCTTTTCTTGCCAACTCGATGGCACATATATGTATCATATCTTGTTTTATGTTTTACCACAGCAGCCATGCCTTCCTCATCTCATTTCCCATCTGTTGCCCTCAGTAAGATTGTGTGTCGTGATTGTTGATTGTCCATTCTTGTCTCCCAGGCAACGTGTTCTTGAAGCATGGTTCTGATCTTCGCCTAATTCCACGTGACCGCGTTGGTGGTTGCACCTACTGCTGAGCATTATCTGTGGGACATGGGAGCTGTGGGCAACAAAGGTTAGAGTATCTTGGTGGTAACTGCTAATGGAGAGAAACAAACCATATTCTTGCATCCAAACATACCGTAGGAGGAAATCGTTTCCTTCAATTGGTATATAGAAAGTGTTTCCTCTCAATAAACAAGTCAGCAGCACTTTTGTAAGGGCGTATTCTTTCCCAAAACAAGTGCCCTGTCAAGTTTGGTTTTGCTGTTGATTGACTTACGGTACCTCCTCTGATGCAATGAAAGGGTGACTACCTGCTAAATAAGTAATGCACATTGCACACATACGGTATCTCTGCACTGGATAGAGAATCAGCAGGAGCTAGCTGGTAAAAACTTCATAATTGTGTGCTTTAAAAATCCATGCACTATAATCGATCCAGACATATATTCACACAGGGCCATATACAGAGCAATACCATCCAGCCATAAAGACTAGGCAAGGACTATACAAACCCTCCAGCCAACCTTCCCCACACCACACCGCAAGTGGGAGAATTTATCCTCACATCTTCTTGATGTCATCAGTGACCTCCCCCACCTTGCGTTCCCCCTGGCGCACAGCACCCTTCCCCCTCTCCTCCGCCTTCCTCGCCCCCTCCTTCAGATCCTCCTGCGCACTGCGAAGCTCATCCGAAGCGCGCTCTTGACCCTCCTCTGCCTCGCCCATCAGCCTCTCCGCCCCCTCGCTGATCCTGCTCTGCGCATCACCCACAGTCCCCTTCACGCTCTCCACAGCACCCGACACCTTCTCCCCAGCAGCGTCCTTCGTCTTAGTCACATTCTCTGTAATCTCCTCGCCCATGTGTCGGATGCGCTCGAAGCCCTCATGCAGGCCTTCCTGTACGGTCTCAACCGCGCCCTTGATGCCCTCCTTAGCGCGATCTATCAGCCCCTCCGCCTGCTCCTTCGCTTCCTCCCCGTCTCCTGCCCCCTGCGCGCAGCATCACGCGCCTGGTCGCGCAGGTTCTCCCCGATTTCCCCCGCGCGCCCACGAACCTTCTCCCCAGCTTCCTTGGTCTGGTCCCAGCTTTCCTGCGTGTTCTGTTTCAGCCTGTCCGCCGCCTCGGACGCCTTGGTGCGCGCATCATCCCCCGCGCGGGCAGCCTTCTCGCGCTGCTCCTCGAACCTCTCGCGCGCCTGCTCCGCGGACCTCTGCCCCGCGCTCAGGATGCTCTCCCCCGTGTCCTGCGCCCACTGCCCCGCCTCGCGCCCTTTCTCTTGCGCCTTCTCTCCCGTCCGCTGCGCCTGTGACTGAAAGCCTTCTGCGGCGTGCTCCGCCTGGTTCCATGCCTGCTCGCCCATCCGCTGCGCCTCGCTGCGGAACTCCTCGCTCGCCTTCTCCCCGCGCTCCTGCGCGTGCTCCAGGCGCCCTTTCAGATCCTGCGCCTGGCGCTCCGCGCGCTCCTTGCGGTCTTCAATCTGCAGTACATAAGACGGGTGGAGGGAAGAGAGGGACAATGTGAGACTATAAAAATGGTTCCACGGTGACCGTGCTGCACTAGACGAGAGGGCTGGAATTGATTTCAGATCTTTAAAGTTTGACTTACGAACTCGTCTTGCGACTTGGCCGAGATCTTCAATGCGGGGAGGCGCCTCGCAGCGACTAGGCGCGACGGGCGGACACACAGGCCGCCGCGGGACCGTGCCGACACGGCGAGAGAAAAGAAGGCGGCAGCCACGGGAGCGACGGCCGCGGAGATGGTCAGTGCGTGAGCCATTCTTGCAGGGAGGAATTGCTGGAGATCGCGAGAAAAGAATGCGGTAGTAGATTCAAAGGAGCGGGTGGAGGCGATGAATGACGAGAGCAGCTTGTGACGAGAATATAATACCAAGGGCGGTCTCTATTTTCTATGAGGCAATGGAAGGCGCGCCACATTGCGCGCTTCGTCGCGTGAACCAAGGTAGCCATGCGCTCAGGCTTGGCCTCTAGTCCGCCAGTCAGCCCGCGGAACTGCTGCGAGGGCTCCACGTGTTGGACGTGCAATTGCCTGCATGCTCAATAGTTGCGTTCAAGGCAATTGTTGGTAATTTGAGGAGAATTCATGCGTCTTACCGCCTCTTCGATACTTCCAACAAGCTTACAGGATGTCATTTCTTTATAGAAGTTTACATATTCTTATGGCCAAAGCTCAGCGGATTTTTATTTCACTTTGACAATTCGATATAAAAGATCGAGTTCTTACATGAAACAACTAAAAGAATCATGGGAATTTCATAATGTAATTGAAATGTGTACTGGATAATTAATTCTAAAGCTTCTGAGTTCCCTATAACAACCCCGTACAGTCAGCTTGGTCTCGTCCCAAATTCTTGAAAACGAGTACGACTCTCCTGCGAATCACCTATTGCGCTAAGCAATGACAAGCAACGACACTTGCCACGTCAGTCTGTCGCGTTTGAGTGACGTTCAGTGCCAGAATCAAGCCGTGAAAGCGCGTTTTTTTTGCCTACGACAAGGGAGGATGACCCTGCGGGAACAGCATTCAACGTAGCGTTATGGAGTGGAGTAAGCAGGAGGATTCGACGGGACGGCGGAGCGCTAGAAAGAGGCGTTCTGGGTCGCCTGGGGAGAGGAGAGAGTCGAAACAGGGTCGAGAGGGGTGGATGGAGGGGGAGGACGGGCGACAGCATGCGCGGAGAAGAGGAGAGACAGAGGGCGGGGTAGGGGAAAATGATGAACGGGTCAGGAAGGGCCGGGACAATAGGCGAGAGCGGGAGAGGGAGGGAGAGCGGGAGAGGGAGGGAGAGAGGGAGAGGGAGAGGGAGCGGGATGGGTATGGGGAGAGGGAGAGGAAGAGAGGGCGGGAAAGGGAGAGGGAGTGTGAAGGGGAGAGGAGCAGTGAGACGGAGAGGGAAAGGGAGAGGGAGAGTGCGTGGGATGGGGAGAGGGAGGGGAAAAGGAGGAGGGGGCGGGAAAGGGAGAGGGAGAGTGAGTGGGCTGGGGAGAGGGAGAGGGAAAGGAGGAGCGAGCGGGTTAAGGAGAGGGAGAGCGATTGGGAGAGGGGCAGTGAGAGGGATAGGGGAAGGGAGAGGGGGAGTGCGTGGGATGGGGAGAGGGAAGGGGAAGGGAGGAGGGAGCGGGAAAGGGAGAGGGAGAGACGCAGGAGCAGCAGCCGCGCGAGAGAGAGGGAGGGAACTGAGGACGATCCTAATGCTGACGGGGCAGCCAGGCACCGTGAACGAACACAGCAGCAGCAGCAGAGGCCACAGCAGGGGTGGGGAGGACCGGTGGGCGGGCGGCAGCTGGTGTGGTACGGTAACGAGGAGTACCACCCGGTGCAGGCGGGCAGCATTGATGGCACGGACACGCGGCCCCACGACCGTGCCATCAAGCGTGCCCTCCTCGCACGCCGCCTCGCAGCTTGTCAGCCTCCCGTCCCACCCTCCACGCACCCCTGTTCCTTCCCACTCCCCTCTCCCAATCCCACGTTCTCCCTCTCAGACCTTCACTCTCTTGCTTTCTCGTTCTCTCGCATCCCCATCACGCATGTCGCCAGCACGTGTTGCATCCCCATCATGGCAAATGCACCTCCCTGCAGAAGCCTGCACTGGTTGGTCCGTCCCGACCCGTCCATGCATGTAACCCAACAAACAGGCAGAGAATATCTTCCCACAGCGCGCATACCTCCTCCTCAGCTTCGCTCACAATCCCCTCCAATCTCTCCCCTCCCGCTTCCCCCCGTCTGCTCCCTCTCCTCCTCCTCTCCCGTGGGGGCGCCAACCGCGCAGACGACCCGTGCGCGGCGGCCATGGAAGCGGCCTGCACGCTCTTTGTGGCGCGCCTGCTGCCCGCCACCACGGAGGACCGCCTGCTGCAGGTGCGCCCGTGCCACGGGGGGATCATGGAGGCGTCGTTTCTGGCCCCTGCCTGTTTGTGGGGTTGACGGGTGCACACGTGTGTTTTGTGCATATGTGTGTGTGTGAGTGTGCGTCTGTGAGTTTGTGTGGGCAGGCAGCAGAAGCACATGGCAGGGTGAAACAGCTGCGCATTGTGCGCAACATCGGTACACTCCTGTTCCCCACTTCCCCGGTCACTCCTCTCCCCTGCTGCCTTCGCAATTACCTTAGCCCCCCTCTTCATCCTTCCGCCGTACCATCCATCTCTTTCTATCGTATCACAATATCACCATGTCTGTCTCATGATCCGTGGATTACACACACTATCGTGCTCCACCCACTCATATTGCTTTCCCCCCTTTGGCCACTCCTTGCTCCTGCTCTTCTTCTCCCCACCACTCGCTTTGCGGTCGTCTCTGCTTTCCGCATCTTTGTCCGTGGGCATGCGTGTGTGGTGGCGCATGGCAGTGACGGGGGCATCACGCGGCTATGCGTTCGTTGAGTACGAAACGTGCCAGCAGTTTGACAGAGCGTACCGGGTAGGCCATGCACCCACGTTGTCCGCACCACACTTTCGTTTTTTTTCCGGTTCCTACCACCGTTTGCAGCTCCCATTTCAGGAATGTAGAGATGGAACAGCCTCATATTCCCTCCTCTGTGCAGCGAGGGTTGGAGTTGGAGGGTGTGGGAGGGCGGCAGGTGCTAGTGGACTTCTACCGTCAAGCACTGCTGCCGGGATGGCTGCCCCGCAGATATGGTGGGTGGGGCTGCTCACAGTACTGGCATGCCAGGGTCATTTGGCATCGCTGCATGATGTTGTGTTGTGACAGAGAAATAATGTTGCCGTGTCACTTCACCTTCAGGATAATGCACCTATAAGTATCTGTGTATGTGGTTGTATCCTGTCAGGAGGTGGAGTCAGCGGGAGGAAGGAATCGGGGCAAATGCGGTTTGGCTGTCGGGATCGGCCGTTCAAAGCGCCATTGTGAGCTCTGTGCTTGCTGCCTGCATCGTGGACACTCTGTCCCGTGTTTGCGGGATGCACGTGCATGCGTGCATGCACACACGCTTACATGCACACGCACACGCATGCACCACACGAGTGAACGCACGCACGCATGCACTTGGCATGGGTGTGGATTGAAGCTGCCACCTTTTTTCTTTTGCTGTTCATTTACATCGTCAATGGATGTGGCGAGCACTCATCTGCATGCGTTACCTCGTTGGCAGGAGGGAGGTCCCAGTGGCAGAGCTTCAGAAGCTTGGCATTCCACTGCCCCCTGCTGGAAGATATCTTTCCAGCCACCAAGTGACTTCTTGCCCCTTCGCACATCTCATATTGCTTGATCCCATATTTTCACTCGCTCTGTTTGCTTGTTTGGTTTTTGTTTGAAGCCCTCGTGCAACTTTTGAAGTCGTGCTTTTGCATGGCTCCTGCTCTGGCGTTTGCAGGTTCCCCCCCTTCCAAACTCACTGGAGCGGAAGTGAGAGAAACAGGCTCTGCATGTACAATATGTACATAGCTCCAATTCTTTCGTGTAGGTTTGAAGCCGTTTTCAAACAAATCGAGCCAAGTTAAGCATGCAAACCATATTTGTGTGTGTGTGAAATTGACCATCGTTTTCGCAATAATGAATCAACTATTTTTGCTCGGTGTCTAGAATCCATTGTCCGACACTAGGCATGGCATGCCCTTTCTTAAGTAATACAAAACATTGGAAATATACGCATTTGCTGAGCTCCTTTTGTGCATGTCACTGAAATGATGCTGCTACTAGGCGAGTACAAAAATGCTGTCAGTTCGGCCCGCCTCCATCGAGGTTGTCAGACAGGTCCGAACGTGCCACGTGGCCTCCGCACTCTGGGTTCCTCTGGGTATGCCAGCCTTCCACATCTGCCTTCCCGCCTTTTTTACCCCTCCCCACCCTCCCCCACAAGACCCCAACATACCTCCCCCGCCGTGCATCCGCAATCCACTCTGCCCTCAAACACTCTGCCGCAATTTATCTTGGTGCGGCTTTTCTTGGGGAGGATTCCTAGGTCAGCAGCCGCGTCTTTGTTGGTCACGCATTGAGCCTGCTGTGTGAGCCTTTCGTCAGATTCACCGCCCAGATGTAACCTCCGGTTTGAAAGTCTTCGAATAGATTGAGCACTAGCCACTAAAGCTCGGTTCTTAGTTGCCTATGCGTAGGCGATCCACCGTTGAGCAATCGTCAGGCACGGTAGTCGCCTCGCGGTTAGAGACTGTGTCTCGCGGTCCACAACCACCCGCCAATATGTCGCTCATTGATCGCGTGCGCGACTTTTTCAAGTCAGATGCGGCGAAGCTTATTCTGTGCGTCGTCGGAGTGGTGGGCACGCTCATGATCTATGGCGTCATGCAGGTATGGCGCCGTGCCGCCTGTCCTCTCCGTGCCAACGCAGTCTCCCATTCCTCCCGGGTCGCAATCCCAGCGCTCCGGTTCAATTAGTCTGAACGTTTTTCTACTATCGAAATGTCCCAAAATGCGTTTCTCTACCTCCTGTTCCTCTCCGTTACACTTCTCACCCCGAATGCTTTTGAATCTCCCAACAGGAACGAATTATGCGGCAGCCGTACGGGAGTGAAGGGGAGTATTTCCAGCACTCGCTTTTCATCGTGCTCTGCAATCGACTGCTTGCAATCTGCATGGCCATCACCGCTCTCCTCGTAAGTTGAAGTGATGTCTGCTTCTCGTGTGTCAGGCGTCGGCGCCGTGCTCTCTTCCCAGTTGCATTTACTTGGATCCATGACTCCGGCTGCGATGTTTACGGTGTCATGTGCAACCGTGTCCTCTTCTCTCCCGAATTCTACACCCGCGTCTCTCGGACATCGCTTTCACGTCGCTGTTCCATTAACGCTCGCAGCCCCTCTTCCCCCCTTTGTCCAATCAGATCAAGGGCAAATCCATGGCTCCCGTCGCGCCTCTCTATTCCTACGCGGCCGTGTCGCTCTCGAACGTCGTCGCTACGGGCTGTCAATACGAGGTATGACGAGCTCTTCTGAGCACGGTGACGACTCCTCTCCTTGATCTCCCTTGCCTTAAATACTTAACCAAGAAGATTCTGTTCTTACTAACGCATTTGCTTGTGCTCTTGTGCTCGTGTGATCTCTCCGCCAGGCTCTCAAGTACGTCAGCTTCCCGCTGCAGACGCTTGCCAAATCCGCCAAGATGATCCCCGTTATGGTGAGGCTCTTGAAATACCTTATGGTCGCTGATTAGAGCTGCATCAGTGAGAGGCGAAGAGCCACAGCTCCGTAGCGAGTGGACTGGGTGAGGAGAGGTTGCGCTTTAATCGTCATCTCGACGTTTGAAGTCCCACATTTGCAACGCCAATGTCTCCGTTGATTCCACTTTCCTCCACTGCCGTGGTTCCATTGCGTCCTTTTTCTTCCTGCTCCGTTGCTCGGGCCGCGACTCTCTACCCGCGCAGATCTGGGGCACGGCCATAATGCAGAAGGTGTACGGGTTCAAGGACTACGCTGTGGCGCTGCTCGTCACGGCTGGCTGTGCCATTTTCGTCCTCTACGGGGTGAGTGGGATGAACAGGGTTGGAATAGTAGCGCGTGAGACAATGACGGGGACGGGATGGGAAGATGGCGGGGACAGTGGGAGAGGGTGCTCCAATCAGGGTTTGATGGGAACGAGATTGCCGTTTTGCAAGGGTGTTTGTGTGTGGGAGCAGAGGAGGGCATGCCATTGAGAGAGTGGGTGAATTCACACTAGGTGATGCACGAACGAACAACTGCTGCAGTACCAAGGACAAGAGTGGAAGGCTCTCAACATGCCTTCATTCCCCTCTTCCTTTCTCGCTCGAACTTGATTAGCATTGCGTCTGCCTTCTTTTGCCCCTCACCCCGTTCACATCGCCCATTGCCGTCATCCCGTGCGGCATGTGCATCAGCGTGAGGGCCATCACCACCACAAGCAGGTGGACTCCACCTTCTGGGGCATTCTGCTCATGGTCGGCTACCTCGGGTGCGTCCTCCTCCTCCTGCCCCCCGCCTTACTCCTGCTGTAATTTGCAGTCTGCTGTGCATTCATTCATACATCCCTGCGCCTGTTGCATGTATTTATACTCATGTTCACCCCTAGTCTTCCTCTTCTCCCTCCCGTGCGAGCAGGTTTGACGGGTTCACGTCAACGTTTCAGGACAAGCTGTTCAAGGGGTACAAGATGGACACGTTCAACCAGATCCTCTACATCTCCTCCTGGTCTGCTCTGCTCTCCCTCATTGGTGAGTCCAGGGGAACCAACACACGCACAGCAACAGGCAGCGCCAAGAAGCTTTTCCCAGGTACACGTGCCTTTCATGGAACAGGGCACACGTCTGTGTAGTCCTCGCCATGTCTCCCCTCGCATGTCCGTAGTGGATTATTTTCTGCGCCGTGTGCCCACCCGCTCCTCCCCCTCAATTTTCTACGTGTGCAGGGTTGAACGTGAAGCTGGTGTCCGCCATCCAGTTCATCATCAAGTACCCCTCCTGCTTCCTCCACATCTTTCTGCTCTCCGCTGTGAGTCTCGCCCCACTGCACCTGCACCTGCACCTGCATATACACATCCCTGCATTTATATCCTCCCAAGGCCCACCCACACTAACCCCTCACTTGCTGCTGTACACGAACTCATTGCCTTGCACGACCTGTTCTTATCCCCTCTGCTTGCTATGTGCCCTCTGCCCCCCGCAACCCCACCAGTCAGCGTCCACGAGCCAGTTCTTCATCTCCTACACTATCCGCACCTTCGGCGCACTTGTCTTCGCCACCATCATGACCACGCGCCAGGTCGCGCTCTCCTTCCGTACCCCAACTCCCTCATGTCCCTGCGTGATGAACCATGCTTCGTTCGCGTTTCACTTTCCTGCCTGCAACCCAAGTCGACGTTTAGTGCCTGCCTGACATGCGGATGTGTCAGCTGTCATAGTTGTTACCATACCTGTCAGATGCTGTGTTCAGTAGCCCTTCCGTTCTTCTCAAAGTACCCTCCATTGCTTCTGTATCTTTTTTACGCAACTCGTCCCCTCTCATAGTCTCTCTCGCCCCCTTCTTCCCCCCTCCCTCCCCTTGCCCCCTCCTCCCTGCTCTGCCCACTGGTGTGCACAGCTGTTGAGCATTCTTCTCTCCACGGCCATCTATGGCCCTCCACTCACGTCAGGCCAGTTTGGAGGCACGGTAAGTGAAGCATGCCCTTACCTGTGTCATTGTGCCAAATGTGATATGCTCTTTCACTGCTTTTACCCCATTGCTGCTTGTGATCTGTGGGACATTCGTCCAGCTCCTTCCCACTTACACCCTCCTTTTTCTTCCCGACTGAACTCCTATACTCTTCAGGCTTTGGTGTTCTCAGCCCTTTATTACAAGGCAATAGCAGGCAAGAAGCCAGATAACAAGCCAAAGACAGCGGACGAGGGGCTGACTGCAGATGGCACATCGGAGAAGGCTCTGGAGGCCAAGGAGTCCGACCCATTGCTGGATGGGGACGAAGGGTCACAAGGCAAGCAGATGGGCCAAGTCAGCATGCAGGGTGGACACCAAACGGACATGAGCAACAAGGTATAGGGCTGTGCAAGGGTTGGAGAAAGCTGTATTGCTACAATGACGGTGATTGATGATATGAGAAGTTGCCACATAGGATCTGGTAAAGGCATGCTGGTATGCCTTTGACAGGTTGCATGGTTCATAAATGTGCAATCTAAAGATCATGCATGTTTTCCCTGCTGTTTTGAGAATGCTGCACATAAAACACTTACACTTGTGAACAAAAGCCGAGTCCGTGACTTAAGGCTGGCCATAGCTCCATGATACGAGGTTTTCTATAATGTTTGTGTTGGGGGGACTAGCCCGAAGCTGAGAATCAGTTTTCGAGAAGAAACAGCATTAGTATCATTTTGTATACAGCACTAAACCCGGTACAAATTTGTCACTCGTGCTGAGTTGTCAGCCCTCCAGACGCGGCAATGCCCTGACCACATCTTTGACCGACTTTTCCTAGCCCCTAGGGACCTATGGGGAGCTTCTTACACATCCATGAACTTCGTAAGGGTACTCACCTCGCTGGGTACCTTTCGTCACCATCAGCCCTGCTGGAAACTCGTTATCCGGTAACCGCACTTGAGTTCGTCACGAACGTGCGATGCATCCACGTTGTCAGTGGTACACCTCCAGCTGGAGATGCCAAGTTCCAACAAAAGCAGAGCCACAGATCGTCCGCCTTGTGCTCCATTCATCTGTCGTCGTGACTCGTCACTCGTAGCGTCAAGCAGTCAGCGTTGTTTCTGCGCCACTCGACCTCCCACAACATCTCGAATTGCAGACTGGCTTATTCAAGAGCTAGTCTTATATCCCCAATCTTGCCGCATCAAATACCCTTCGCACACGAGAGCTTGCAGGTCCCGCGTTCTAACATTAGTGAGTGGTTGTGGTGCGAGCAGGTGGAAGGTAAAGGGGATAGCTAGCTCCTCAGTCCAGCGTTTCGTCCGCCGCCATGCCGTCCCTCGAGGCGTCCCTTTCCCTGCTTGGCTCGCAGCAGCCCTCCTTCGCGCCCTTAGCCCCGCGCGTCTCGCACCTTTCGTCTAATTTCCTCGCCGGATTTAGACTCGGCGGTGCGGGTAATCTCCCGTTGAACAGGGCGGCAATCCCAATTGCCACGCGGGGCGCTCGTCGCTGTGCGGTGCGAGCAGCGGTCACGGATAGGGTTCCATCGGGGGGAGTGGATGACGCTTACAATAACGATGACGCGGGGTACGCCAGCAGCGGCGCCGCGAATGGCAGCTACACGAGAAGCGGCAGAGGTGCCGCGAGCAGCCGCAGCAGCAGCGCAAGCGCTTCGGGCGGAGCGCGCATGGTGCCAATCGACGTGGCGCTTGAGCGGATTAGAGGCGCCAAGGAGGAAGCCGCTGCGCGGGCTCGTAGCGGCGGCGACGGCGGAACTAGCGTCTACTACGAGTCGGATGCTGCCGGGTTCGGCGCCGCGAGAGGCGGGACTATGGAAATTGTAGGCGGCTCTATTGCCGGCGTGCCGACAGTAGGCCCGACGCTGGCGCAGCTGGGCGCGGCGGCGGGCGAAGGCGGCGTGCGGCAGCTGCCGTCGGACGAGACGTTCCGGTGGTCGCGCGAGGACTACAACGTTGTGCAGCGCACCGTCGACGTGTGGTCCGCCGTGCTCACGCTGCGCGCGCGCCTCGTGCTGGTGGACGCCAAGTGGTCGTACGTGGGCGGCTTCTCGGAGGACAAGCAGGTGCGCGCGGTCGGAGAGTGGGGGGGGTAGGGGGTGGGCACGGGACGTGGCATTGGGGGGTGAGAATAGCAGCGGGAGACTGGCAGCGCTGGAATGGTGCGTGAGACAGGGGCGTTGCTGAAGTGGGATGTAGAAACGGTTTCAGCGCCATGAGCCGCTGACATAGCCATGTTTGCCTCCCTTCACCCCCCGCCAACTCCTCCCTCCCCCACCCTGATCCCGCTCCCTTTTCCTCCCCATTCCTCTCGTGTGTATCAGCGGCTGCGGCGGCGGCGGCTGGCGGCGTGGGTGCGGGAGACGATACTGCAGCTGGGGCCGACGTTCATCAAGCTGGGGCAGCTCTTCTCCACGCGCTCCGACCTGCTGCCCGCCGAGTTCGTCGATGAGCTCTCCAAACTGCAGGTAAGCCCGCCCAGCCCACCCCACCCGTGCCGCGCTGCCTGCTGCTCGCCGCGTCACTGGGGGGGAACGCGCAGTGCAGGCTGTTCCGCCACCCGCATTCGGGCATCCGCAATTCCGAGCTGTCCCCCCGCCCTCCACATCTTTCCTCCGCACCCCGTCCTCCCCGCTTACTCGTTGCTCTCCCATGCGTCCGTCGTGCACCTCCCACCTGCTCCACTTCTCCCCGTGCTGCATTCCCCCTCCACCCCGCTTCCCACCTGTCGCCATCATCCCCTCTTCCCTCACCCTCCTGCCTTCCCCTTCTCCCCTCTTACCTCCCCCTCCTCCTCTTCCAGGACCGCGTGCCCGCGTTCTCGGGGGAGAAGGCGCGCGCAATGATAGAGGCGGAGCTGGGGCAGCCGCTGGGGGAGCTGTTCCGCGAGTTTGAGGAGACGCCCATCGCGGCGGCGTCATTGGGGCAGGTGCACCGCGCAGTGCTGCACTCGGGCGAGGTGGTGGTGGTCAAGGTGCAGCGCCCCGCGCTCAAGCAGCTCTTCGACATCGACCTCGGTGCGTGCGCTGGGGGGCATGTGGGGGGTGCTGTGGGGGACGCTGCGGGGGGTGCCGTGGGGGTGTTGTGGGGGGTTATGTGGGTGGTGTTGTGGGTGGTGTTGTGGGGGGTGCTGTGCTGTGGCGTGGGGGTTTGTGAGGGAGAGAATGGGCAGTGAAGGAGGGAAGATAGTGAGGCGGTGGTGTTTGTGGCCTGGGGTTCATGCTGACTGGTGCATGCTGCCTGTCGTGCTGTCCATCATGCTGCCTCGCTGCGCTTCACACTCGCACCACCACATGCCCGCCTGTCACACATTCCTCACCTCCGCCCGCCCTCCCCCCTCCATCCCGTACCACGTGGTGGCGAGTGGGAACGAGCAGAGAACATGCGGTTGGTGTGTGAGTACTTCCAGAACAGTGAGAACCTGGGAGGGCCCACCAGGGACTGGGTCGGCATCTACGAGGAGTGCTGCACGTGAGTTGCACGCACACCCACACACGCACAAATTCACCCTCGTGCACGACATGCCCCCATCCATCCATGCAATCTCTGCTGGCTCTGCAATCCCTGCTTTCTTCATTGCACACGCTTGCATGCCTTTGCCCTGCATTGCCATGCCTGCCAGTTCCTCACGCACCACAGCCCTCTCGCACGCACTCTGTAGTGCCTGCACGTGCAATCTCCATATCCTTCCGTTTCTATCTACTACCACATTCCCTCTTCCACCCCTCCCTCCAACTCATCTCCTCCTCTCCCCTCCCCTTCTCCACCCCCCACTCCCCCTCTCCCCCCTCCGTCCCCAGTGTGCTGTACCAGGAGATTGACTACCTGAACGAGGGGCGCAATGCGGACCGGTTCCGGCGGGACTTCCGGCGGTACCCATGGGTGCTGGTGCCGGAGGTGTTCTGGGACTACAGCACGCGCAAGGTGCTCACGCTCTCCTACCTGCCCGGCATCAAGATCTCCGACATCCCGCGCCTCGATGAGGCCGGTGTCAACCGCCCGCTGGTGGCGCAGCGGGCCATCGAGGGCTACCTCATTCAGGTGGGCGTGGGGGAAGGGGAGCGGGTGTGGGGATACCGGTCACCAAGGATTGTGAATGGTATGGGAGGGGAAAGTGTCCTGAGTGGGAGGGAAGGGGAGGGAAGTGTCTCTTGTGGGTGGGCAAGGGGGATGCCTCCATGCTGCTTTGCCCTGTGACCAACTTGCACACGACCTCCAAACACTCCATCTACTTAAACCCAGCCTTGGATCCCAGTGCTCACTCTCCCCGCTCTTCCCCTTTCCCTCAACCCTTTCCCCTTCCCCTTCTCCCCGCTCCCCTCTTCCTCCTCTCCCCCATCAGATCCTGCGCACGGGGTTTTTCCACGCGGACCCGCACCCCGGCAACCTGGCAGTGGTAGCCGGTAACCGCCTGGTGTACTACGACTTTGGCATGATGGGGGAGATCCCCGCGTTCACCAAGGACCGCCTGACCGCCATGTTCTACGCCGTGTACGAAAAGGACGCCAAGAAGGTCATGCAGTCGCTTGTGGACCTGGGCGCACTCGTGCCCACGGGGGACCTCAACTCGGTGCGTGCGTGCGTGCGTGCTGCATCGCTTGCGCTTGCTGTGCTGCCTTCCTTTTGTTCTTGTTGCTTGCTCTCTGTCGCTTCGCTTCCTTGCCATTCTGTGCCGCCGCCGCACCCGCCTTCGCCCCTCCTCTTTCTCCGGCGCAATTCGCCTCTCGCTTCGCCCCAGTAAACACTTGGCCTTGTGTGTGTGCACTTGCGTGTCCGTGTGTGCGTGCGTGCATGGCATGGCATGGCATGGCATGGCATGGCATGGCATGGCATGGCATGGCATTGCATGGCATGGCATGGCATGGCATTGCATGGCATGGCATGGCATGGCATTTCATGGCATGGTATAGGTGCGGCGGTCGATCCAGTACTTCCTGAACAACCTCACAGGGCCCAAGTTCGAACGCGACGCCACCATCTCCGCCATTGGCGAGGTCAGCTGTGCGCAGGGGGCATGCAGGGAGGGGGAGCGGAAGAGACAACGGGGAAGAATGAGAGACAACGGGGAAGAATGAGGGAGACAACGGGGAAGAATGAAAGAGACAACGGGGAAGAATGAGGGGCAGAGACAACGGGGAAGAATGAGGGGCAGAGACAACGGGGAAGAATGAGGGGCAAAGAGACAACGGGGAAGAATGAGGGGCAAAGAGACAACGGGGAAGAATGAGGGGCAAAGAGACAACGGGGAAGAATGAGGGGCAAAGAGACAACGGGGAAGAATGAGGGGCAAAGAGACAACGGGGAAGAATGAGGGGCAAAGAGACAACGGGGAAGAATGAGGGGCAAGAGACAACGGGGAAGAATGAGGGGCAAAGAGACAACGGGGAA